TCGACATATATAAAGAGCCACGAGATGTTACCATCTCTAGATGGTGGGAGAAGGATGTTGTGTGGATGATAACACCAACCACACCTTGTACGTATAGGGAGGATCTTAAGCAGATTAATGTTTGTAATCCTTGGAATAAAAATTAGTTTTTGTATTGAAAAATACAGCCAAGATGAAAGTAATGCATATGTCTTTCCTATGACTCACAAACCTCAAATATAATATAAATAAAACAGTCATATTTTGGTTATCTTAATAGCTCACAAGTTGATTATTGTCGATATGTTTTAAATCACTTGGTACAAATAGATATTCAGGATCTCACTAGTGTATGTATACCATAGTATCCATACCACATGTTATATATTATTACGTCCCAGCAGATTCTGTAGTAACCTTTCTTGCCCCATCGCTCCCAAAGATTCCTCTAAGATCCAAAAATAATCTCTTTGTAAGATGGATTGATGCATATTCTAATGAACCAAACCGAGCCAAGAGCACCATGTGGTCTTGGCTCTTTGAACATATGGGAACTCTTGGCCGAGAGAGAATATTCTTTTACATGGGGTAAACTGTTATAGTTTTAAAATTAAATAACTTTAAATAGTACATTTTTTTCTAAATTTAAATACCATACAAGTACATTTCTGTAACAAACAAATCAGATTCCTAGAACTCATCAAATATATATGCAACAATATTGTCAACAATAAAACATATATCTAACAACATATTTTTACGATTCTGAAAATTTCGACAATGTATCGATAATTAGTTCATTTCTTAAATAGCCAACTATAAGATCTAAATTTGTTAGGAAATATTTGATTTAGGAATCCCTTAGACTTTTCTTTTCTAATAAATAACACCAAAATTTATTTGTTTGCTGATAATAAACAAAATTATTAAATATAGAAAAGTTAGCACAGTCGTAGGGGTAAAAGATGTAAATGCTAAAATAATAATTGGTTTTTTAAGGTTTGCTAAATGCAGCTTCTATGAAAGTATAAGCATGTCAATAAACGTCGATCGTGAAAACTTATTTTCTATGAGGAAGTTTTAGATTAAATTAACTTCTATTAAAAATAGGTGATATACAAATAATAAATGCAATTTATGCTTTAATTCTGACTCTCAACCGATTCATATAAGAAGCAAA